GAAGATTGTAACAAATAATATTTTTAGGAGTACTTTTAACCCTCACAAAAACTTCGTGTGCAACTTATTGCATACCTGCATCCAGCTGGATTTCACGGTTTTAGTTATGCTGTTTCCTAAATATAATAATTCAAGTGAGGCTAAGACACCTTGTGGGGTTTTTTCCCCCAGAAGGAATATTCCCCATCCACTTTCAGATATGGGATACTTGTTAGCAGCAGCGATACTAACATGCATTTGAACAGTTTTACTGTCTAGCAGCAGTAGGCAACCATCGATCCTTCTGTATCATGGTATGTGTGAGAGGTCACCAGGACCTTTCACACGTATGCCTAGGCAGGAGTACGGAGGAGTGGAGGCTGCCCAGACCTTCCATCTCCACTTTAGACCATAGACAGTATGCAAAGGCCAGACCCAGTTCAGACATTCGGTGCCTTGATGGCTGTTGTCATATGTGTGTTCTGCAATCAAAGCCAGGTCTCCCACGTGATAAACAAGGATTCTAACACTGGACAACAGTTGTTTTGAGCAGCAGTAACTTGTACTCATACAAGCTAGCATTATTAGAGTTATTATTCAGATATACAAACTGAGTGAGCTTAAGGGAGTTTATTTCAGTACTCAGTTTAGAACGTATTGTCAGTCAGATATCTCACACGAGGACACGCTCTTCTGTTAGTAAGTCAGGTTTTGCTGGTGCAGAACACAAACAGTTTAAAATCATGAGTATGAGATTAGAGACAGGTAGTGCAGGTGTCTCACAACACATTAGAGAAAAGGGCTTTATACAAAAGTAGTTCAGACCTTTCACAAATTAAACCTACTCCATGGTGGATTTCTGTACATTGGACAACTATGATGTGGCATAACACAGGGTATAAGGTAGCAATCTGTATACAAAGCCCTAGCCTTTTAATTGTGTACTAGCAACTGAGATGACTATGGCAGAAGCAGTTTCTGTGAACACCTGACTCACCACTTGCAGCAGACGCAGCCCTGGACTCAGAAATCTGTTGCAATCAAATGCTGTTCCTTTGAAATTGGTTAGCATTTTACCAGTGATTTCTATGGCAGCATGTGCAGTATGTGATGTGTCATATACACACGATTTGTTTGGAAATTCCCAAATAGTTTTTCTATTAGTCTGGCTTGACTTCAAGTTATCCACATGTAATCATCCTTTTTACTGTCTACAATGAGACTTTGCTATTGCACTGCTCTTCTTAGGACTTCTGAAAACTACTGATCCCTGGGTCCTTTTGCAAATTGCCTCTGTATTCACTTTTGAGTAGCAAACTGCACAAAGTGGAGTCCTGCTGGCGGGTAAAGCATGGAGGAATAGGAACCCTGGCTCCAGGCTTCAAGTTTCAGCTACATCATTCTTTCACTGGGGAGTGAAGGGTTTTCCTGATTTTGATGTCCTCTGTTCCTGGTAGTAGCTACTGACTTTGTGAGAAGCCCTTGATTAGTTTCACAAGCCACCCAGCTCCAGTAGCAAAAGGCAGCTAGCTACATTAGTCTGAAGTCAGGCAGAAGGCAAGGCGAGGTGTTGTATGCTAAAGTCTTGTTTTATGTCACTCCAGATGAGGCCTCACCACTGCTGAATAGAGGGGAATAATCGCTTCCCTTGACCTATTGGCAACACACCTACCAATGCAGTCCAGTATGCTATTAGTCTTCTTGATAACAAGGGCACAGTGCTGGCTCATATTCAGCTTATTATCCACTGTAACCCCAGGTCCTTTTCTGCAGAGCTGCTGCCCAACCAGTCAGCCCCCAGCCTGTCCCGGTGCATGGGATTGCTCCATCTGAAGTGCAGGACTTTGCACTTGTCCCTGTTGAACCTCATGAGATTTCTTTAGGCCCAATCCTCCAATTTGTCTAGGTCACTCTGAATCCTAGCCCTACCTTTCAGCGTATCTACTACTCCCCCCAGCTTGGGGTCACCTGCAAACTTGCTGAGGGTGCACTCCATCCCATCTTTTCGGTCGCCGATGAAGCAGCAGCGCATCCAAGCAGTAGTGCTAAGTACGATCATATGGTAGCAAAGTTAGGATATTTTGCTGGAGGAGTGTCTCTAGATCCGATTAAATAATGCATTCGTCTATCATCCCACCACTCCAGGGGGATAATAGGAGCCCAGCTCATTGATCCCAGCCCAGCACCACACTGTTGAACTGGCTCCTGCGCAGTGCCAAGACTGAGGTTGACAATCAGCAACCTACACACCGTGTTAGGGTCTTGTCACATATTACATGTAGCAGTAAAACGGCAGTATGTATTACATGGAGCACGTGTTCACTGCACCTCAAATGGCAATAAAACACATGCTCAGTGCCACTATAGCACAGCAGTTAAGGACTCTTCCAGCCAGGAGTATCTCCAGATCATATTATTTAACCTGTGTTAAGCTAACATTGCCCTGCTCCATTGAGGTAAACAGTCAGGAGACTGGTGCAGCGCTAGCAAGGACCAACAAACAACTGAGTGCCAGTCCCAGCCCCCACAGCACGTGTGTCTTCAAGAGCTCTGGTGCTTAGGGCAGGTTTTATTTATATTAGCAGAGCTTCACCTTTCGGTCCCACTGGAGTAGTGCCAGGCTGCATTGGGCGCTGGGCGCCAGGCCCCGAGCTGCCTCCGCCCTCCCCCACACACCCAGATCGAGGCCCCACGCTGCCCCCACACATGGGGGTTGGGCGCCGCACCCCAGAATCAGCCCCCTGTACCCTGGATCAGGCCCTGCGCGCCCAGTGTCACCCAATGCGCTCCACGGGGCTCTTCGAGGGCCCACAGGGGAGCAGCCACCACTTTCCAACCTTTGCCTTGTGGCGAGTCACGACACCAGGGCCTGCGGGCCTCGAGCCCCAGCGGGACACGGCTGCCCCAAAACTCCCAGCCGAGCCCCGGAGGCCGTGGCTGAAACCTGTGCCAAAGCCCTGGGAGGCGGCAGCCCCCAGCGCCTGCCACTGGTGCCTGGC